AATTGAAAATCAATTTTAGATTCTTTTTTTTTAAACAGCAAGTTAAAGGTCCTTTGGTATGTTAAGATTGCAGGAAGTTCTCCTAAGGTTTCAAAGCGTCATGAAACCTGTTAATTGAAAGTTTCCTCTCCTAACCTAACCGAGTAAGCCAGAGGACTCAACAGAAAACGGGACAGTACAACTCTTTCGTGAGCCGATTTCATTTCAAATTACGTCCTTTTTTAGCCTAAGTGCGCATACGCGCGAAAAGAGATGTAATTATTTAAGAAAACGGGTTGAGGAATACGCGTATACACACTGATAGGAACTAAAAATGAGAAAAGGGAGACATGATCACCACATACAAATTTCTCATGATAATAGGCAGGGCAGACAATGAAAGATGACAAGGTTATTACAAGGGGAAATAAATGGAAACATTAATTACCAAAATGTGCCACACACACATTATAAAGAATGTTTCCAGTTCAGAGGTGAATAGAAGATGGAATGCGGTAATAACAAGTGGAGACGAACTTCGTATATACCATGTACTCATGAACCTACACAAACACCTAGTTGTACTTGTCGGGGTTGAGATTTGGCTCTTTGGTTCCGCCTCTCAACTGTCAATCAACTGGTGTACAGATTCCTGAGCCTACTGGGCTCTATCATATTTACATTTGAAATTGTGTATGGAGTCAGCCTCCACCACATCACTGCCTAGAGTATTCCATCTGTTAACTACTCTGACACTGAAGAAATTATGTCTGTGGTTTATTTGGGTACTAAGTTTCCACCTGTGTTCCCCTTGCTCGAGTTCCACCCGTTCTAATTTTTTTGTCTGTCCATCCTGTCAATTCCCCTGAGAATTTTGTAGATGGTTATCATGTCTTCCCTTACTCTTCTGTCTCCCTGGGACGTGAGGTTTAGCTTCCGTAGCCTTTCCTCGTAGCTCAAACCTCTCAGTTCTGGGACTAGTCTGGTGGCAGACCTCTGAATATTCTCTAACTTTATATTGTGTTTAACTAGGTATTGACTCCAGGCTGGAGCTGCATACTCCAGGATTGGTCTGACATAAGTGGTATACAAGGTCCTGAACGATTCCTTACACAAGCTTTTAAAGACAGTTCTTATGTTGGCCAAAATAGCACATGCCGCTGATGATATCCGATTGATGTGGGCCTTTGGGGACAGGTTCGGTGTGATATCAACCCCCAGATCTCTCTCTATTTGACTGTTGCAGGAGTCAACACACAGGTAAACACACCCGTGTGGCCGTACACGAACTACTCAGCCCATCCGCCTATGGTTTCCCAACGTCTAGAAAACGGTCAATTTAAAGTGTCCTCTCCTAACCTACCAGAGGACCCAAAACAGAAAACGCGACAGTACGTCATTTTCGCGAACAGCTTCCATCTTCTTGTACGACATTTTTTGGCCTTATGTAACGCATACGAGCGAAAAACGACGTTCTTTTTAGAAGGACAGGTTGAACCGCTGTGTAAGTAAGGCGCCGAGCCGGGGAACTGCTGTGTAACGACACCCTGGGAACCAAGAGGATGACGCCCACAGAAAACGAACATCAACCTAGGTGTAACTATTGAAATTGAAATTGCTATCAGCCCGTCTTCCTAAAATGAGAGGACTTTTAGCCGGAATTAAGACTTTCGTAGGCCTTAGGCGCCTATAAGACATGGGGGCAAGATTTCAACAGCATGTTCACTAACAAGCTAGTACTTAAATATAGTTTGGCATCGAAAGAAAAAGATGTAGCGATGTTTGCCGTGAACTGAGTACAAGTTTAGGTCTAACAAAACCTGTCAGTTTTCCGAAGCAGTTACTTTGGCGTAATAAATATGTTTTAAGCACTGCCTACTGATTACGTTGTAGAGGAGATTTCTGAAAAAAAATAAATAATTATTTTTTCAACGCTTCGCAATACTACATTTTCCGAGATAAACACTAACACACTGCTAAATAACTACCTTCAGCCGCAGGGGGTCGCTATGGATGTTAATGTCACACTGAAGTGTGGCACTGGGGCCAACCCCGACTGACCTATCACACTCCAGTTAGGTGAAAAGTTCCCTTGTTCACCCCAACCAACCATAGGTGAAAATCAATGCTCGAGGGATAAAGGAAATAACATTGACCCATGACACTCCCCAACCTCCCTCACCGCCATGCATCATCTTGGAAAGCTAGGCGAGGCTAACCGAGCTCAAACGGGCAGGGACAAACATTCTCTTATATAGATATATAATCATATATAATTATAATGAATAATGACAGTTTATTCAACAAAAGACTAGAACTACTACAACAACGAATTTACGTTACTTTACTGTCTTCCAGTGGCACGATAAATACAGCTAATTCAACAGCCTATAATTTAACAATCTATAGTGTGTATATATTTTTTTCATGTTACATATTTTAACAGGATTTTGTTGATTCTTAAGAATAACAAAAAACAAATGTATAATATGGCAACAGGCCATCAGTTAGTTGCCCCCCCCCCTCAAAGGTAAACACGCTGCCCATACACCCCCACCCCTATCCCCCCCCCCCCCAACCCCACACACACACACACAGCCAAGCCCTCGACGTCGTCACCATTCTCTAGAGGGTATTTTTATCTCTGTTGACTAAGGCATGTGCCCCACCCTCTCACAAAGCCGTATACACACACCAACCCACACCGTGTACACCCTCAAAAATATGCTTCCAAATAGCCAGGAGCCCCATTCTTGCCAGCGCGTTGTCACTCATTAATTGAAATGTTACCCTCCAAACTGTCCCTGCCCCCCCCCCCCCCCCAGGAGTGGAGCACGCCAAGGCTCTACACACAGTCGGTCAAGGTCGCCCCCCCACTAAAGCACGACCTACTGGCCGAGTTTGGTTATAACCGCTCCGCGCCTCTAAGACAAGACATGCTCTGCATATCAGTGGCTTAAATTAATCACATTATGTGCCTATAAATACTCTTCTGTACCAGTGTTCCAAATATATTTTATGAACAAATCCACAAGGGCCGTGACGAGGATTCGAACCTGCGTCCGAGAGCATCCCAGACGCTGCCTTAATCGACCGATTAATATTTTATATTAATAGATATTATTATTTTAGAGTCGTAACCACCTCTCAGCTGGAATGTCGTCAGTGAGTCTTGCGTCATGTGCGGAGGCCGCTCAAGACTTGTTCCCTCGCTCTTCCTGTTATACAAGTCTTGAGAAAGACTGTCTTACCGCAACCAACATCTCCCTCCCCGCCACTTCCTGTCTGACTGTCTGTCTGTCTGTCATCCATTTACCGGGGGGGGGGGGGGGCTCCAGCTGCTGGGTCAGGTTGGTGGGGGGGGGGAGGCGCTCAGCTGGTCAGGAAGTGAATCCTTATCGAAGGTCAGCCATCAGCCTTTTCGGGTAATTTCTATAACGGATGAGCTGCGGCTGCCGGTGGCGCCTGTATCTCTGGTACTATTAATGGCATTATTATAATGCTTCAGCAGTGGCTCCTAGTCCATGTTATAGCTTCATGTTGCGAAACTAATAATTGACTAAGTTAAATCGTGATGCATTCTCCGTTTGTATAATAGTATGTGGCCATGTTTGTAGTTTACACACACACACACACACACGTGCGTGCGTGCATGCACCTTTGTGTGTAAATAAGTGGAACTGAAAAGATGAGGAGGTTGTCGAGGCCAATTCGAAACAACTTTAAATGTAATAAGAAAAGCGAGTAAATCACTACACTGAAAGGCGGGGCTGAAGAGCAGCTGTTCGACCCTGGAAGCTCAACTACATGAGTACGCACGCACGCACGCACACGCACGCGCGCGCACACAAAACACTCCAGCTGTCTTTAGACATTCGTACAAGGAATCATTTAGAAACCTGTATATCACAAACGTCAGACCAACATTGGAATATGCGGCTCCAGCATGGGGCCCATTGCCTGTTAAGGAAAAGTTGGAGAAGGTTGAGAGGTATGCCACTAGACTTGTCCCAAAACTCCGAGGTATGAGTTACGAGGAATGGCCAAGTTGTTTGAGGGAGGCGACGACGATCAAGGGATAAGGAAAGGCTAAGTGAATTGCACCTCACCTCGCTGGAAAACAGGCTTTAGAGGAAACATGATTACCACATACAAAATTCTCAGAGGGGGGGGGGGGAATTGACAGGGTAGATGGGCACTGATGGTACTCGCACAAGGGGGCACAGGTGGAAACCCAGTCCCCCACATGAGCCAGAGACATTGGAAATAATTGTTAGTGTCGGTAGATAATATATGGAACACACCAGGAAGTGATGTGGCGGAAGAAGACTCCACACACAATTTCAAATGTAGATATAATAAAGAGCCTAATATGCTCGGGAACCTATATATACCGGTTGACTGGCAGCAGAGAGGCGGGACCAAAGAGCCGAAGCTCATCCTCCGCAAGCACAATTAGGCGAGGACAAACATCATCATAAAACAAAACAAAAATAAGTACATACAGATGATCAGCCGGTGCTTAAGTTGTCTGATGGACAGTTACTTAACAGACCCGCACAGCCTTGCTCCTCAATAGGCCTATACGGGACGGCTCCTAAACCCTATATTCGGAGTTTATATTTATATATATATAATTTATATTTATATATACATTTTTATATTTATATATATATTTCATATATATTATAAATATATTTTATATATAGATAGAACCTACATAGGTACGACATTATAAAACTACACAATTAGGTCAAATCGATCAATCTGCAGAGACCTTGAAGATGTTACACGACCAAAGATCACATTTACTCCAAACCTCCACCACCAACGGGTTATTCATGCCCGTGCCACCTCTTGTTGTTGTTGAAGATTGAAGTCACCACAAGTTAAACTGGATTGACCTCTCACGGCGTTAGGTCATATAAGTATATAAGGCAGGTCATCCTCCAGCCTCACGATAAGGCAAATTTCCAGTAACCACCAAATAACATTTAATAAACTACTATAATTATTATAACCTTATTAAACTTTTCCGTAATAACGTTTCATTCGAAAATTATTAGATGTAGAAGTTCACAAAACCTTCAGAACATTTCGCTAGTCACAGCCTCAACGACACGGGGCGACACACTGCTTCTCAGGATGTGTATCGATTACTGAAAGTGGAACCGCGCCTGCGTCAGGGATAAGACCACGACGTCACCACATTCTGCTCTTGTGATTGGCTAGGGAACCCTGTGGCCCGTAGTGAGCCACCGGATTGGTGAAGCGCTGAGCAACGTCAGAAAATCCCACTGCGGGGATTGGTGGCGCGGAAGGTGTGGTCACCCTACCTCCTAGAGAAATACAGCACATTGTATACACACTCCATGTATACTCCTAGTTGTGCTTACGGGTGTTGAGCCTTGGCTTTTTGGTCCCGCCTCTCAAGTCAGTCAACTGATGTTCCCGAGCCTACTGGGCTCTTATCATATCTACATTTGACATTGTGTATGTAGTCTGCCTCCACCACATCACTGCTTAACGCATTCGATTTGTTAACTCGAGTATAACCTTGGATTGTCAATAAGCAGTCGAGAGTAATAATACACAAAGAACCTCAACAAAATCTTGTGATATGAGGCAAAATGAAATCGACACCAGTAATTCCATATATCATCATGTAAATGTGTGGCCAAGTTTGTGGTAGAAAAAAAATACGTATATCATACTATCATGCAAGAGGAGCCACACATTTATGGATCATCCAATAAAATCAGCAGACTTTTAGATGTTACTACTGCTCGGCTTAGACTCGGTTACTAGTATCTCTGGGAATTATCATTATCTGCTGATGTAGACCTGACCAAATGTAATCTCAAAATTATTCGCACACCCTCCGTCACTATGTGATGGAGTGCGAAAAGATACGTGAATTCAGAGACAATTCTATAACAAATGTTCTAGAGATGTGTAAATATTTCATTCAAAATTATTTGCTAAATGTAGGCAGCAACTAAGTGACTGTAACCTACCCACCGCTGCCCACTGGATGGGGGGCGGTGTGAAGGACAAACATATCAATTGTGACACTAGGCTCTCCACACATGTCAGTTGCTTAATTTAGAAATTGTAATTGTGGTCGGTCTCGAGCCCATTGTTGATGTGACGACTTGTACTGAATTTTGTAACCAGCTCATCAAGATGGTAACTTGTTTAGCTAAATGAATTGTGGGGTTCAGTTCCTGTGCCCATTATGTGCCTCTGTAACCCTTTCCACTACCGCCCACAAGATGGTTATAGGGTGCATAATAAATTAATTAAACTGTGTTAACTATCATGATACACCTAGAGTATACGCCTAGAGGTGTGTGTCTCTTATGTGTGTGTACTCAAACTGGACTATACCTAGTCCAGTTTTCTCAAGTCCTGGACTAGGAGCAAGGCAAACTTATACTTGCTCTTTGGACATTTAAAGCCACCAAAGTTAATTTGGTGGCTTTAATAGTCTAAGAGGCTGATAAGCCTAAATAATCCTCCAGAAGTTGATAGACCTCAATAACCTTCCAAAAAGACATATATTCACAAAAACACGTAAGCCTTCAACAATATTTGTTCGTTTAAGATGTTGATATAGTTAAAATGTTCAGTTAAACAGAAAAAATATATATACAAGTCTATATACTGACCATCGTCTCCCCCAACAAGTTATTATTGAGGCGCCAAACCGGGAAGACTGTAACACGCACTAGGTAGGTGTTACACAAGTTACAAGGTGGTAACTACCGCTCAGGAGTGCCAATAGGAAGGGGGAAGCGCCAAGCCATTACGACTATATAGCACATGGAAGAGGGGTTAGGAAAGTGCCAATAGGAGACCGAAAGGACACAAGGCGAGCTATATCAAAGGTATCCGATTCACCAAGGATTTTAGATGTCTACACCCGCACTTCCCACCACACCAGAGGACTCGAGCCATCCATCATTGCGTTATAATTATAATTCGGGTTACAACTGTTAGTAATGGTTTTCTGTGTGAATAGCCGACTATGGTACTATGGCTGTACGGGCGGCCATTGGCGATCACCAGGACCCCAACTAGCTGGGTTAAGCCCGCCACTATACCTCACACTATCCACAGAGATTGCTAGGACTTTACTCAGCTGACATTAAAATGAAAACCCTCTCCATAACGTACTCCTCCACTGGACAGGTGAGGGAGAGAGCGAGAGGAAATATTATCAAAGTGTAGTTACAAGACGAGAGCTAGGCTCGTGTTGTAGTATTAGCGTTTGTGTTGCAGCTCCCAACATTGACGGAGTGTTTTCTATGCGTAGGTCCTAGGTTAGGTTCGGCCAATTCATAGTACAATTATGTATTTGCGCGCACTCGCGCGAGCAAGAACGAGACGTTGTGACAACAGGAGAGGACGGACTGCATAGTCATGTAACGCTCTGAAATGGCTGACGCCGACCTCTTACCGTGAGTGAATGACTGTGGGTGGGGGGGGGGGGGGGGGAGAGGGCAATCATCCAAAAATCAAAATAAAATGATGCAATATAGCCTAGTCCGCGAGCCCCCCCCCTCCTTCTGCCTCCTTACACCCTCCCCAGGGTGACTGTGGGGGGCCAAGGGGTGAGAGGGTACACGGGAGTTAAGGGGTGGGGGAGGGTATTGACAAGAGGGAGGGAGAGGGAGGGGGAGGGAGAGGGGAGGGAGAGGGGAGGGAGGGGGAGGGAGGGGGAGGGAGAGTGGAGGGAGGGGGAGGGAGGGGGAGAGAGGGAGGGAGGGAGGGGGAGAGAGGGGAAGGGAGGGGAGCCTTGCATCATGCTGCAGGTGAGCACGCGCACGTCTCTTGGCACAAGCTTACACTGGTTCGTCTCGTGGTGCACACGCCATGGGTGGCGAGCCTCCAGCTGGCGTGGGTCGGGGCTATGAGGCAAATTAGGGTAGGGAAGGGGGGGGGGGGGTTAAAGTGTATGGGTCAGTAGGGTTAGGAGTCGATAGGTCACCTAACAGTAAATATAGGCACTTGTTAGTAGACTTGTGTCATTAACGGTCACATTCTGTATATATTCAAGAGTAATTTCCCATAAACAAAACATACAAATTATTTTCTTAGGGACAGGCAGCCTGTGCGAATATTACGGGTCCCGGTAGTACAGTCTGGTTCGTTCTCGACGCGCACACTAGAATTCCGGGTTCGAATCAGACGTGGGACAAATGGTTGGATACATTTCCTTTCACTTAATGCATCTGTTCAACTAGCAGTAAGTAGTTACTCAGGGGTCGGGTTTTGATAATCTTGTGAAATTTATGAACGTGAATTTTAACAGTAAAAAGTCGATAATTACTACTTGTGTCAAATCCGTAAGTGGCACTAGTTAAAACTAATATTGGTAATTAGTAAATTTGAGTGGTTGGCAGTAGTCTTTCACCAAAAATACCGATTCCTTATCACAAAGGGATAAAACACTAGCTTCCACTCTAAAGGTTTTAGAAGAATCGGAATATTCATACTGTATATTGAACACAAGCAATTATTGAAAATAATTTACCAGAAGACAACATTAGTGGCCTCAATAATGTTAAGACTGGAAAATTGGAAGTTGATGAATATGCAGGGCCTCCATACCATGCTGTGTTCAATTGGGTACACCAACAAGCTCCACTGGATGATTTTGAGGTTATCTCGGGATGATTTCGGGGCTAAGCGTCCCTGTGGCCCGGTCCTCTACCAGGCCTCCTTTTTGTTCCAGGAGCATCAGGGTGAAAGAAACACTGCCCATTTATTTCTGCCTCCGCTGGGGATCGAACCCGAAGCGCTGTTCACTCAGCTGTTATGCCCTAGTGGGGCTGGATAGTGGAAAAAAATAATTCATTGTGTCGGGGGACAAGCAGCCAGAGTGTATTCATACGCATTAGGCTAATATTGAGGTTCCCCCTCAAGGTCAAATTACTTACCACGCCCAGGATGCAACCCCAGAAGCTGACCAACTTCTGAGTACCTACTCACTGCTAGGTGAACAGGTGCATTAGATGAAAAGAAATGTGCCAAACTATTTGTTGGGCAAGAGTTGAACCCGGAATTCTCGAGTGTGCATCGAGAATGAACCCAACTGTACTACCGGGACCTTCCTGATACAAGCTTAAATTTCTTGTCGAGGCCCACATAGCAGCTCCAGAAACAAGAACCATGTACAAGTATTTAAATATTAAAAGCCACCTGCTCCAGTGCAGAACCTGTCCTCCAGTACTGAACATTCATAAGTTACATTAGCATGTTCTTCAACTTCTTCATACAGCTTCCTCTGTTATTGAAGAATGGCCATCAAAAGACAAGGTAAATTTAGATAATCTTTATTCAAACTAAACAAAATCGGTAAATAAATTGAAAATTCTGATTTCTTTAGAAATCCTAAATTTCAAAAATCTTTATTAAAATAAGAGCATACTAGATACTTAGTTTTGGATATTTTTATATTAGAAACACAACTAAATTTTTCAAGGGAAAAGCGAGATCACCTGTAAAACCCGGACACAACTAAAACTTGGAATGCTAAAAAAAAAAAAAAAGAAAAAAAATTTAAAATCAAACAGGAATGACCACTTTTCGAAAGATAACAAGATTAGAAAAAAATACATGCATACACTTTTTTTTCAAATTGCTGCATTTTCCATTTTACAGCACTATGATGGTATAAAAATAATGAACTAACCTTGGGGGTATCACCCTGAATTGTAAAACATTACCTATAGTTAATATCACAATTACATTCCACATGAACACTGCATCAAGGCACTTTCTGTACATTTATGGAATGACCTTAAAATTGTAAAACAAATCTATCATGGGGCCACACGATCCATGGCAGAACTAGAGCTCGGTCAGTCAAAATCTATTGGTGTAAGCAGAGAACAAATGAACGAAACAGACACATGGCATTGTGTTGAAAGCTACAGAAGGATGCAAGGATGCATGCACACTTCTGCTTTCTCCAGATATCTCTTGCCATTTTAGTGTCCACTAAACTGAAAATGTAATATTCTGCTTTAACCTCATTTTAATCCAAAGGACTCATGCAAATTTACATAATAACCAACCTGGTCAGAAACTGGTATCATACAAACAACATACTTTCAATATATAAAAATAGAACACATAAAATGCAATAGTAACTACAGCACCTTGCACAAGGAAACATGATGCACAGTGGGCACTATTGGCCAGTAATAAGTCATCATTTGGTCAAGACACAACACTTCAATTTGAGAGCGCCATTTTACCTATTGGGTAATTTCAGTCCAGCATGCTGATGCCATTAAGTCTGAGTAACCAATAGCGTAACTCTGAAAAACCTGTGTAACATTTGTACTTCCACTCTGAAACAGAGTACTTGCGTACATCATGTGCAGCAGCTGCACGTCAAGCAGTCATAGCTAATTCTGGTCTTAAGTTACATGGCTGAAATACAGTCATAGTTTCAGCAAAAATCAAGTGACTTATAGTATGTCAAGACAAATACAAGAAGCTTAACAGATGCACAGCATTAGTGTCAGCAAAAAAATAAAAAAAAATAAAAAAAATGCATTACAAAACATATTTTAGCTTTCTTTTCTCCCCAGATGAAAGAAGATAAATTAAATCTATACAGTTTACTTTAACATACAAGCTGACCACTAGTCCATGATTCTGGGTTGTCGGAGGCATCTAGTGCTCACAGAAGACAAAAATCAATGGTGAATGGCTTTCGTACATTACCAACCAAATATCAAACAAATGTTGCAACTAGTGCCATAATTGATAAACATGGAATTCTTAAGCACTAATTTACAAATGTTAATATGCTAATATTTTGGCCGTATTAAAAAAAAAAAAATCCCATTGCTTGAAAAATTCCCTGAATGGAAAGAATCAAAAGATGTCAAAATTTGCTGTTAAGTGTCAGGGGATTTGTTTTGTTTTAAATAACTATTAGAAACTGCAAAAGGCAGAACTTTAGGTGTAATTTACTTTTAAAACTGCTAGTTTTTACTAGTTGCTATTAAAAAATAAACACACCCCTAACTACAAAAGGGTTAGCAATTCATATTTTTTTAACAAAGAGAACCAAATAATCAGGGACAATAAGAACTACTCCTCCAGTTATATAACATTAATTGGTCAACATTAACTTTATATGAAATTTAATCAAGTACACGATATCAGTCATAGCACACCACACTCGCAGTCCGTCAACTCATTACACACAGCATTATTTCAGTAGTCAAACAGCTACTCTATGTAATCCTTCCTCACGTCATTCCCCGTCTCCCTTACATTATTCCCACGTTGACGTAGTCTCTCGTATGGCAGAAGTACGGTCTACTCCACTCTTTACGGCCCCAACTCCCCCAAAGAAGAAGGGCTTTTTAGTAGACAGATCTGGAGGGTAATAAGAGAATTTACCTATAATTATACTCAAATATATGATCTAACTCGTGCCTTGCCAGACAATGTAAATCCAGTTAATCAACATTGTACTGTATAACAATTTATAATAATAATAATGTGGTGGTGGTTTATAAAATGGTACAGGTGAACGGGGGTTTTTACACGTTATTAGACGATCACAGTAAGCCGAAGGACTCAAATGGATGGTAATGTAAAAATGTTAAAGGGTTTAAATATTTATTGTTGGTATTTAGAAACTTAGAACAGTTCTAAATAATGATTAAATAATGAAGGTGGTAGAGCTGCATAGAAAGGAAACTGTATCCCAAGGAAAGACAAGAATTATTATGGTGCATTTAGAGAGGCAATGTGTCAAACACCACCCAACCCTAACAGATGGAAAATACAGTATGGAAATTAAACGAGACTGGAAAATCAATTTACCATGCTAACAAATTTAAATGCTTTAAAATTAATATGGTATTTATCAATGAGTAGGATTAACAAATGTTACAAGGCAGAAGGAACACACAGCTTAATTACATATTTACTTTAAACACAAGCCCTCTCACCAGTATAAATGCCATGTACAACAAATGTACTGTAAATATAATTGAATTGAAACAAAAGATCTAATTCTAATAGAATGAACCTAACCTAGTTCTAAATTCTACAAATCCTACCCATTTCCAAAAACGGATATGCGACAAGAACAGCAGCACTGTACTGTCACGATTGTGTTGAGGATGAATAATGAGACACTGCAAGGTCCAAAGGCCAACACAACCTAACTGCATGGAGTATATGCAAGTAGCTTTATTTCATTGTCTAACCATTAACATAGAAAGCAAATTGAGTATACCTGTATACATAATATGTACTAATGTTTTATTGATAAAACCAGAACTGGATTACTGTGCTTAGTAGGCACAGTATTTGTATATTTGATAGCCAATAACTACACTCAATATTTTGACGAAGAAAACTAGTAGTAAAATGTTGACCAAACCACACAGTAGAAAGTGAAGAGACGACGACGTTTTGGTCCATCCTGGACCATTATCAGGTCAATTGTAACTGGTTGCCTGGTCAATGGTCCAGGATGGACCAAAATGTCGTATTCTCTTCACTTTCTAGTGTGTGGTTTGGTCAACTTTTTTTTTTCAGCCACGTTATTGTGACTTCATCTGCACGAGTAATAACTACCGGGGTAGTTAAATTTTGTGGGTAATACTGAATGCTATATTAGATTTAAGCTTCTAATAATAGCATAAAGTACATGGAACAGTGCAGAACAGACATGACTGCCTGGGTAACTGGCAGCTGTCACCATTTCTTTAAATAGGAATTCCAATGAAAACTTTAAAAATTTAAAATTAACACGTGTGGGAAATTGCTAAGCACAGATACAAATTATTAAATCTCTCACACATGCCAGTTAAAATCTTAGTATACTCTACTCTCACAAACAAATACAACAAATTCAGTACTTTATGACTGACCTCTTATAGCCATGAGTATCTTCCTGCGGTGTCCAAATATCTGTATGCCAAGCTCTTTCAGGTCTGTGTCATTGAGTGACACGAACATATTTATATCAACTTCTTGGGCCACAAATACATCTGAAAGAATTAAATGCAGATAAGAAAAGGCAGTCATCCATTGTCAAATTTAATAGCTGTTACTTTGTCTACCTCTTGAATAAAAAATAAAATATTTTGGAAAATCATTTTGAAAACTGACCGACATCTTTACAAACATTATATACATTGCAGAAGAGTATAACAGAAATCAGTAGCAATATTGCAATGTTGGTGGTACACACAAACATGCAAAAGAAAATATCACTAACACTGCTTAAATAGCCCAACCCATACATGGAATTAAACAAAACTAACAGTTTTGGTCCATTCCAAACCTTTATCATGAGTACAATTTCCACAGCTGAATGCACAATATTACACACTCACCAATATACTGCTCTAATTTTAGATCCGTCAGTACGGATGTGATATCCGACTGCTGACTGGTGTGACAGGCACTCTCTCTGGGTCGAGGTAGCACGCAATCCATATAATTACTGGACGAAAGGCTAAAAGGCTGTCGTTGCACCATCAAGTTATCACTAGTGCCAAGTGAAGTTTGGCCAAGCTGTGAAGGGATATACAGTAGTGCATTTTATAAATGTGCTTCAGAACAAAATAAATACACAACAAATTGTCTAATAATATGTTTAACTTTTATGGTTTCGTAACAATTAGTAAAGGTTTATGTATGGCATTTTGAAAAGTAAATGAAAACCAAAGTTTCCCATTAAAATTCTTATTTTGTCTGTTTGCATACCAAAAAATCATTACCCATGACATGCCACTCAATGTTATAAATTTCATATTACCTTTACTACCTAGAAATTATGGTGCAATAGACCTTCGTGCAGCACCTAGTCTTAGAGAATGGTTCGTGTAACTATGACCATGATAAACAAGAATACACAAACTAGTATATGCACAACATGCAATACAAGTTATCACATTTGTGTGTTAATGAACTTTTTGGGTTACCTTATTGCATCATGTCCCATACCTTACCTTGAGGTACCCATCTCTTAACATTCTACAACTGCTACTTTTCAAAGATCATCCCTTGATAGCATGTTCGTTCCATAAGGTTTTCCTTTAGAACAACCCCAATGTTGTGGAAGAACTTGCTGCATATTGGAAGTACAGTACTACCATCAAATGAGTTTGCTAATGGAGAACATGTGTAATACTAGTTAGTTCTCATCAGTAATAAGAAAAATATATCGAGCCTTTACAACGGAATCCATCCTGCACTTCCCCAATCACATCGGGTATACTCAATGTTATAGTCTGTGAATATATATGTAATCGAGCAAATCTTTGACTGGAAAAGGTGGCAACTGTTTAACTGCACAAATCTCTGGTGCACTCCCACTTGGATTATTGTATCCAAACATGGAGACCATCAGTTATTTACTTTTAGTTATTTATATATACACAGAAGAAAGTACACTGGGTTTGCGTGTACATAACATTACTGTTTTTACATTCTTGAAGTCGCTAATCTGCATAGCATTTTAGGCAGGTCCTTGATCTAACATATAATTATTGATAAATAAATATAAATAAATAAATGTTTATTCAGGTAAAGTACATACATACAAGAGGTAATACAAAAATTGATAGATTTATAGATAGAGCTAGTACATACAATAACTAAAGCCACTATTACGCAAAGCGTTTCGGGCAGGAAAAACACTAAAGACTAAAACTTAATACTAATTGAGATTAAAGTATAAAATGTGTTTAGAAAATATAAAAATAAAGGGGGAAACCATGGCAGAAAAACAGCATAAATACAATTTGGTCAACGAACAGCATTGTTTAAAAATAACAGACATGGGTTGACAATATAGGGGTAAGGTAGGTTACAGGAGTTAATTAGGTAGTGCTTAGTTTTTATCTTAAACTGGTTGAGAGAGGTACAGTCTTTAACATGGTTGGGAAGGTCATTCCACATTCTGGGATGTGGAAAGGGTCCAGTTTTGGGATGGGGGATGGAGGTAGCAGGGATGGGGGATGGAGGTAGCAGGGATGGGGGATGGAGGTAGCAGGGATGGGGGATGGAGGCAGCAGGGATGGGGGATGGAGGCAGCAGGGATGGGGGATGGAGGCAGCAGGGATGGGGGATGGAGGCAGCAGGGATGGGGGATGGAGGCAGCAGGGATGGGGGATGGAGGCAGCAGGGATGGGGGATGGAGGCAGCAGGGATGGGGGATGGAGGCAGCAGGGATGGGGGATGGAGGCAGCAGGGATGGGGGATGGAGGCAGCAGGGATGGGGGATGGAGGCAGCAGGGATGGGGGATGGAGGCAGCAGGGATGGGGGATGGAGGTAGTGGGGAGGGTGCAGTTTGAAGGATAGAGGTTCATCCCACCATCCATCCATCCAGCCCCCCCCCCCACCTTCCACCCAGGAATACAAGAAAATTCACTTTTGCAGACAGTCGTAGACAGTTGGAACAAGTTTAGCAAGAAGATTGTGGAGGCCAAAATAATCAGTGGTTTCAAAGCACTGTATGACAGTGCTAGGATAAGGCACACCACAAGCATAGCTCTCGTCCTGTAGCTACACTTAGGTACGGTAATTACATACACAAAAGGTACAATGGATTGTGAAAGTACACATTTGGGATTAAGTGGTACATTCTTGCAAAGTCACTAACTTCTATTTATTCATTCATGGCTTCTTCATGTTCTTGCGAGTCATTGTGCAATAGAGCGAGTTGTCAACTATAGCATTCATAGAGAGTTTTCATACCATGAGTGTAAGTCTTTTGCTAAGAGGCAGCCTTAAAATACACAATTACATAAAAATAAAGAGCTGCAAAAGCCCATTTTAATTCTGAACCATGACCAACGAAGTTAAAATCAAATCAAATTGAAAGTACATACATACAAGACGAGTTACAAACAATATTGGATTTCGAGCCAATACATACAATGCCTAAAGCCACTAATATGCATTGCATTTTGGGGAAGGTGTGGGGAAAAAACCCTAAAGACTAAAACTTAATAGTTGACTAATGCCCCATTTCCAATTCTGAACCAAAATGTAATATTTTTTTGTTCCAACTATTACGTTGGATTATCATCTTTCCAGCTGGCTGCCAATCTTCAGATATTGTGTACACAAGAGCACGAGGGACAGACAAGGGGACAAATGGAAAAACTATACAAATTTTCCATTCAAGATCCTAACACACCAACACTGTACTTTCAAATACAAAAAGGCAAATGAAAGCTTAATACCTTCTTCATAATTGGCACAACTGAATGATCCAAAGTTTGATACCCGTGTAACATGACCTGGTTAGACAAGTCTCCTTACACAAGATGCATCTGTTCTCTTTTTCCCCCCGCTAGGGAATCATAAAAAAAAAAAAAAAAAAAAAAAAAAAAAAAAAAAAAAGAAGTTATCTCCCAGAGTATGGGAAACCATATTTACTATGCATATGGATTCAATATACAGTATACATATTGGATGCAAACCAACTGTGTTTACCTGCGTCATACGAGATGGATAATGTAGACTAGACATTGCTTGGCTGGACGAAAAGTCCCCGGCTCCAGCCTCCTGCTGCTGCCACTCCTCCCAACCCTCCAGCCCTCCCTATGGAAATAAACTGTCTATACACTACTGCCATTACAAATGCCACAGAACTAATAAAATAAAATTTTCATTATGAAATATAATGCTTTTAACAACTTTTGTAGTGTACATAATGGAAATTATTTAAAAGCAACACAAAATTAAATACAAAAAGGAAATATTTTATCACCTGATTAGTCTTCAAGAGTCTATTTTCCTGCATCTTCTGTCGAATCATGAAGCCTGGCATACTTTTACTGAATCCATAGCCTGACCAACTTGACGTTGGAGTACGAGGACTCGAGTCTACTTGCTCTTTCATGGCTGTTGGACATAATTAGCATTTGGTAAAAAATTAATGATGTTCCTAAAGGCATAAAAAAAAAAAAAAAAAAAAAAAAAAAAAAAATGGTTGGAAGCATCTCATAACAAGAATATAGAAATAGCAGAAAGCCTACTGGCCTTTGCAAGACTGCTATTTATATCCACCTATATTTATTCATTGATGACTGACCACCTCAAAATCTAGCAACCCCCCCCCCAGTTATGTTTCCCAGAAATTTGTTACCCCACAGTAAATTATAATTTGTTCCGTACACAGAACACTTGCCAAACCAGTATTTACCACAGTCGTTCATGAATCTAAAATTCTTGTTTGAAATTAAACCACTAGGTCCATGCACCAGCCCTAGTTGCTGCTCTTACTGATATACTATACTGGTTTAAAATCCAGTTTCAAGATTTTATGCAATGGCCACCATTGTATAAAATATTGACCAAGTACTCAAGACACTAATTTTGAGACCACAAGTTTGATGAACTTTTTAAAAAATATATTTTAAAGTAGCTTCCAAAATTCCTGAGCAATATTTTATAACAAGGTCAAATCTCATAAATGAATATATTTGATTAAACTTTGTATTTTCAAGCACACAAAATTAAATTATTAAAGCTTAAAGGAGAGAAAAAAAATTGAATATAGCTATCTGGGAATCAAGTCAGCCTAAAGAAAAATAAATAAATCCTGCACAAAATATCAAAGCAAAAATTCCTTTATGCTTATACAAGAAGAAAAACCCTTGAAAGATGAGACCAACCACCGGTTGAACATTTCGGGGGATCAGCATCTATAAATGACAAATGCAGCAACTGAATGAATACTTTGCATCAGTGTTCACATTAGAAAGATTGGACAACATCCCTACACCCACACACATTATTATGTTATGAAGCAGAAGAGAATGGGCTGAGGAATCCCCAATTATGGGAAAGAGGAGGGCATCATCAAATTTAAAGAATTAAGAGATCCACATGTGGATGGAATTTTACCCAATATCAAAGGAAATGAGCAGATAAAATTGGTCTACTATCATTGAAATGCCTAATCACAATGTACACCAATAAGTGTTACAGTATTTGTATAATTGAAAATATACAAATATCATGCTTATCTTCAAGAAAGGCAGTATTTCAGCAGAGTATGATCACTACATATAAAATATTAAAGGGAATCAACAAAATTGATTAATTCTAGAGACCTGGAACTTCAAGAACAAGAGGTCGTGTTTAGGCTAATTAAATACTGCTGCCAAAAAGTATTAGAAAATTCACTTTTGCAGTGGAAATGTTTGTAATAAGTGAGAAGGTGGAAGGGTCCAAAACGGTCAATACTTTTAAGGTGTTGTATGACAAAACTAGGAAGATGGGATACCATGAGCATAGCTTTCAGCCTGTAACTACACTTATATACTGTAATTACCCATTAGCCAAATCTTGCACTTAGGTGTGTAATTATGTTTATACATTTGTTTCTTTGGAGGTGACCTGAAGTGCAGTGGCTTGTTCAGTTTGCTCACAACTGAGTGGGCAAGGTTACAATTCCTAGAAAAGGCAAGACGTTTGGACACTTACGCATGCCTGACACCTCCGTTTACCTAACACTAACTGGGTACCTGGGAGTTGGTGAACTGTTGTGAGCTTGTACTGGGAAAGTCCAAAAGCCTAACAGGTTTTCTGTCCAAAAGTAAGTAAACTGTATTCTTCCTAATATTAAATTCTCATGCCTCAACCCTTCATATGTACACAAAGGGATAAAACACTGTCATTCAGCACATGAACATGAGCCATTCACCCACTAAACTGCTTTCAACAAATTATTTGGCAGTACAGGTACAGTAATAAGTTATGTAAATTCAGGTAAATTCATTACACTGTATATTAAGTTTTTAGTGTTTGATTACTTTTGTGGCTAGAGGAATTCAGAACTACACAAAATCAAGAGTCGTGTGCTTCATGATGTACTCTAGCACTTGGGGGAGACTAATCAGTCTGTCCCGACCCAATGAACACAAAGACCAAAGAGCCAGAGCTCAAACCCCTGCAAGCACAACTAAGTGAATACAAACACATTGCCTCTTGTTACCTCCTTGAAGTCACACTTGCATACAACACATTACACGGCTGACTTGCATTTGCTTAGCCCTGGTCTGTTGGGTGTACAAGACAGCGTCACCCCCTAAAAGTATTTCACTCTGGCTTTTGCTCCAGAGTTTATACTGTTCTGTTCTAGAAACAATACAGGGGTACTTAAAAAAAAAAAAAAAAAAAAAAAAAAAAAAAAAAAAAAAAAAAAAAAAAAAAAAAAAAAAAACAGAAGTGTGCATGAACATTAACCAAACAAGTTTCTAAAAAATTTACTACTGAAGACATTATTATTAATTATGCCAAGTCTGTCCAGACTTCCTACACATTTGAAAGGTCAAATCTGTTCCAAACGTACCAAAATTGTTCCAGTAGACAATTTATTTTGGATTTTTAATATTTAGATTTTGTTTCAGGTTGCACTGTATACATGTATACGAGGTAACATGTACAGAATTTGGCAACTATTATGCACCATCTGAACTCCTGAAATTCACAGCACAGAAAACTTTGGACCACTCAATTTTCATAAAACCTCACTTGTCAAGGTTGACGAGTCAAGCCTTACGCCAACCATTCATAAAGCAAGAACAGTGAAATATAGTCACATTTTACCGAAACCGTGTCCCCATCTGCCATGGGGGAACAGCCCCATGGCAGATGGGGTTGCTCCCAAGTCACCTTGTATGTTCCTTAACATACAAGGTGGCTTGGGTCACAGGACCCAAAAGGCATGTGCATTTAGTTCCAGTTTTTAACAGGTACTCAAAAACACTACTGGTAATTTGTATGGGCCTTCCTTTTATAGTCGTCACTGATGCCGAGGGTTAAGAAGGTCTTGGACGTTTTTAAAGAATGAACTTCTATTGGGTACTCAGGGCTTAATTAAATGATCTCTAATAACTCCCCAGAACCTATTACCTATGGTGCTAGTGCCAGTGTGTGATCCTGCCTCACTACACACCACATCTTGGGGTGGATCAACAGATATAAGCCATAGTATGTACTATACTACATATACATACATTTTATAGATACATTAGTGTATCAGTATGTATAGATACATATATACATATATATACACATATATACACTATATACATATATAATACAACCTTTAGCTGCCTGGACTTTCTTTGAACTGTAGTCTGAGAGCGAGGTCATTTTTTGAGCAGCCATCTCAATACGCTTCTTCTCACACCCAGGAGCTCGTCTATCAATATCTGTCAGCAATGCAGATATTGCTGGAAAAAACAAACAGCATACTGTAAACTGGTGTCAACAAATAATCTTTTTTTATTTCTATCAAGAACAGCCTCTCACTGTATTAGGAAATGAACAATCTTTAACCCTTCGGCTGTACAGCGAGATGCCGGAAGTGTACATCATTTCGAGAAGTACAATTTGATATGCTCAAATTGAAGAAGCTTTAGACAACTACCAACTGATGATGAAGCCTGTTAAAATTATCTCAAAAGATAATGACTACTGCATATAATTGATTTGAGCCTTAGTTTTGAAGATGGATTGCACTCAAGCACCACCATTCACCACACCTAAAATATGAACACCTTAGTTGCAAATTGACTCACTCCCTTCACACCCAGGCTTGACTGGCAGAGACTCGTCTCCAGTTCTCGGTGGTTGTAATCCAATCGTTATGAATTCAGACATTCATCGACTGTCATTGCCAATGAAAGTTAATCTACACAACACCTAGTTTCCCAAACCTTAAAGTGAGTTCCTAAATGCAAACTTTTCTTCATCCATTAACTAAATGGTAATAGGAAAACTTAACCAATTTAGGCATTAGAATCCTAAAATGTTGGGTTTACCAAGACAAAAATAATTTCAGACATTTCATGTTCAGATTCAGGCAAGTTCTTAAAAAAATGCCCCAAAACTTGAAGGTTTGGAAACCTATTTAATTAAAAAGTTAATAGTGTACTATTGAATACAACTTGCAAATTAAATTTATCTTATTTGGTAGTCTAAACCAACTAATGACTTAAAAACCTTTCAATATATGATAATTCTATGCCACTAATGACCTTTATTAACCCACGACAATTCTACCCCATTATTTTTATTAAAATAATTGCAGTTTGTTTACCATTCATTCCATTAGTGGTAGCCGATTCTGCATCGGCATACTGACTCTGGTGTGACGTGGAAGACATATGGCCATTAATGATCTGGTCTGGAGATGCGTCACGCGGAGACGGTGCTGGGGATGATAGAGAACTCCCACTGTTACTGCTTGTTCCACATGAAGCATCTGCAAAATGGACATAGACAAAAATAATGGAGCCTTAAAAATTAATCCCCCCCCCCCTTAATCTAATCCCTGATTTATTTAACCAAATACCATTAGGAATGGGACCAACCTAAGATTGTGAGCAATTGGGGGGGTGGGTTGGTTTATGATCTAGTGCAGTGTCATTTATTTTTGGAGCTTGGGAAGGTTAGGGAGTAGAATGGAAGGCAGGAAGGAGACATTTTGAATATAAACTTTGGATAGGCTGAAGCGAGTAAAAGTAAAAAACATGCCAGATTCTTTTCACAAATTATAGTTAAACCTTCATCAAACAAAAACTACAGGTAGTATTTGATGTAAATTTCACATGCATTACATTTTGGTTGATCAAAAACAGCTCAATCTAGAGATGGATTGGACAATAATTTGAACCGCTGCACAATCTTTAAATATTACTCTCCCACCACTTCCCTGCCACACAAATAATTCCATAATGTTTTTATGAAATTGATCAATTACAATGGATACTTTGTAGGCACAGTATTTGTATATTCTATAAGGCCACTATTTACATAGGATTTTGAGCATAACTTGCAATAGTGATTTGGTTTAACATTTCAATACAAGCCCAACATGTACCATCTGTATAAACTTGTGTATGTATAACTTCAAAAGTAAAACCAAAAAGTACCTAATTTCATCCTCATAGATTCCTGCCTTGTGCTTCAAGGTCACACCGTATCTTGTACTACCCACTTACCCAATATTAGTACTCAAGACATGTATCCTATTAGTGCAATTATCTGTCAATGTATATTGCAGTTATTTGTCGATATAAAACCTTGCTACAATGTACGTTTCCATCTTACCCCCAATATGTTAGATTAAGGAACTACCTGAAATGCAATTCGTGTTGGTGGCTTTGCAGGAATGTAAAAATACCAATTTTATTTAATCTCACCAACCCATTGTACCCTATCGCAAATAAATTATTATTATTATTATTATTATAACTGCCTGTCCCGATACAATGAATTATTAATTATGAATTAACGCTGCCTGGGTGACTACAGTGAACAATTCCCCAAGCCTAACGGACTACCTGTTCTTGACAATGGAAACCAACTTGTGTATAATACGATTTTACACATTTTACCAGACTTTTAATAATAAAATAAATAAGTGTTTATTCAGGTAAGGTACATACATACAAGAGGTTTTACAAAAAATGGATAGATTTATAGATAGAGCTAGTACATACAATGCCTAAAGCCACTATTACGCAAAGCGTTTCGGGCAGGAAAAACATTAAAGACTAAAACTTAATACTTATCTGAATCACCCCCCCCCCCCACCACTACTTTGGCTTACTATTAATTGCGAAATCATGTACCACTTTAAATGTTCTCGTATCTTCCCCACATCATACAAGAGGTAAATGTCTAAGACAAGGAAGCAAGGTTGAATCTCCAGTTGACACAAGCCAGAAGGCTAGCAAATAAAGTTGGTGTACTGTGGGAATATGCAGAGGCCAAGAATCCAGACATCAAGTCGGATGTAACTTTGATTCCGGGGAAAAAGAATGTAGTTAATCAACTGTACAAGTCTCTGGTGCACCTTCCACTTTGATTATTGTATCTAAGCATGAAGATCTTCAGAAAAGCTTCCATTTTGGAGAAAGTTCAACACCTGGCAACAAAAATCATTCCTAAACTAAGTCAACTCCTATACCAGGAAGTTTTGGGCCACAGGTCTAACACTACAAACCAGACATGACAGAGCCAATCTCTTCAAAACAAAATATTGAACAATTTGGAGATTAATCCAGACCACGTCTTCAAAAGGTCAGGTTTAACACGAACAAGGAGCAACAGTTACAAGCTCAACAAGCCACAATGTAGGACAGAAAACAGGATATGCTTTTTCATCCATATGGTTATAAACCCCTGGAACCAAATAAAGCTGTACATGCCAAATCACTGTTGTAATTTAATAATTTAACCCTTAAATTGCACAAAATGTCATATGATGTGACATTGAGCTCGGTTTCTAAAATTTTCTGAAACCCTTTCAAATGTTTTGTGCATAATCTACTAGGCAAATGCTCCAACTTTGTCTAAATGATACCAATTTAACTTGAAAAACAAGAAAATAAAAAGTAATTATAAAATTGAATATTGAAAACTTCAGATTTTGAAATCGGCTGCAAAAATATAAAGTACCACCAACTGTTCATTTGGTGGTGTTATGCTCTCAGAATAGCACAATCTTCATTTTTATATATTAAGAATATAGGTCTCCAGTATAGTTTACCAAAATTTTTTTTTGTCAATATGGCATTTGAAATATGCGCAAATTTAAAAAAAAATTGTATAACTCCAAACGTTTAGAGTTTATGAAAAATCAGTTCTATGGGGATTGTAGAACAGACAGCTGTGCACACTATAGTATAAAAATGGTGAGAATCGGTCAAACTAGATTTTTGGATACTGAAGTTGAAATTCTAGTTGGAGATATAATTGAAGTTGAAGTTATCGACAATGAATAAGACAGTTCTAATTCACGAATTTACTTGTATGTTGTTTGTACTGGAACATGTGAAAGTTGTAGGTCACAGAGTTGAAATGAAGTCAAGAACCCCCCCCCCCCTAACACTTTGCACTCATTCCAAAACTTTACTCACACAAGGTGTGTGTCATGTTATGTTGCTTTCACCATGACTAAGTGTGCCCATTAAGTACATGTAGAATAATAAGCACATTAAGAGCTTTGCGATAGCTTAATTTTTACGAATGTGCTTGTGTAAGCTACACACACACACACACACACACACACACACACACACACACACACACACACACACACACACACACACACACACACACACACACACACACAAGGATGCAAACAAACGGTGCAAGAAACTTGCTATAAATAAGCACAAAATCTGGTTTGCTGGCAATAACATCAATGTAGCTAATCAAGAGCCCCAAAAAATTTAGACCATCAATTAACAATACTTTTCCACTGACTTAATGCTACGAAACGACCTTTATGCTATTTAAAAAAAATAAATACAATTTCAATTTTGGTAACAATTGGCTGTCAATCTTTTCTTGTTTATCGAGAACCTCGAGTAAACAGGGTCCTCTCGTACCATATTAGCCGGCAGATAGCACATGTTTCTGGCCCATGATCTGAATATTTATTGTATTTACATTTCCAAAGTAATATATTTTACAATGCAAAACCATTTTATCATGTAATTTTGTATTTTCCTTGTAAATTAGGCACGATTTGTATGCATGAAATTTTGTGAAGACAAAAGAAGGACCAAATCTTAATAACCAAGATCTAATCACACTGGAGACAAATGCACATCTCTTCGATACAAGAAGAATGAGGATGGGAGGGGGGGGGAGAGGTAGAAGTCAACAGAGAAGTCAGAGGTACAGTACTGTAGATAATTCCGTACCCTCAACACCATTGGAGAGCGCCATGCCACTTAACCCACTGACAAGCGAGTTGAGGTTCACTCCTGAACTCATGCCAAGTCCTCCAGTCTGTTTGGATGTTATACAGTTGTTATTTGGCACGTTGCTATTATTGTTGTTGCAGTTGAAAGAGCTTGAGCGAAGAAGTAAGTTTGCCGAGTAGTACGAAGCTGTAGGAAGAAATTAATTCACGAATGAAAATCCACAATTCACAAGTTACTCGAACAAAAAATATATATACTATTGAATTAAAATTAATACAAACAAATCAAGAAAACATTGTTATAGCCTATACAAAATAGATTCAGACAATCACAAAAAAAATCTACAAAAATCAATTAAAAATTACCAAAATAAAAAGTGCACTTACAAGAAGGTTCAAACAACATGGTGCTGTACTGGGTACGTGAAAAGTGTGAGGGAAGCTGACTACTAGAGGGGCTAAGGCTGCTCCACGGTGCACTAGCGTGGACCTGAGGGCTGGGGGTGCCTGTGGGGGATGGGAGCGGAGATGAGCCCCCACTCCCACCACCCAACCACTGACCCAGGTTCAGATCTGCTAGAAACAAACCAGTGTCAGTCACACACAAAATAAGTCAAAATCAAATATAATAAAATTATAACCAAGAACAATTGTATTCAAACAGGCAATATTACAACAAACTAGTAAACAGCCTAATAATGTAGCGTATGCATTACTGTGACATTAAAGTTACTGCATACCTCCTACATAATTGCTAAAAAAAAATTATACAAATTAACATTTAAATACTGTATACTACAGGGGGGTACTTGGCACTGCTCATGACTAATGCCACAGCTTCACTACATACCTTCTCCACCTTGTCCATCTTTCAACACCTTCACTACTCTGTACCACCCTCCCTCCCTGTCCATAACCTTCCCTACTGTGGACATACCCACCTCTACTATTTATAAGGAGTTTGTTCACCCAGTTCACTCCAAACCCTTTGTCTGACTCCCAGCAGTTGACTAAGAACTGGTAAGGACCAGGAGAATCTGACAAAGTATTCCCAACCCACCAATAACCATCTCTGGACAAAGACCGGTCGCCCTACAAAGTTTGACATGACAGGGAATAAGTGTTTTGCTCCCAACCTCAAAACACACACACTTTTAAATACAATCTGTTTCACTCAAACACTAGCATGTAGCTAATGTCAATTTTCCATAAACAGACCATCTGTAGTTAAACCCAGATGCACTAATCATCAGATCCAGTACTGTAGTTCAGTGAGCCTCCTCAAGGTCATTGTAAATCAAATTCCCCTAGTGTCTCCTATGCATCAGTAACACCAGAAAGGAATATTTCGAAGGACTTCTGTTGTCCTAGTACTAAATGTCTACCTCTACTGTGTAGACCAGTTCATGGAAACACCATGACCTTATTTACAGCAGCAATCTAGTACTGTAATACAACCCATTTTAACCAAGTGGAAGTATTATTGATTATGATATGGAAGGATGATTGTACCGACAGCTCAAGACAGAGCACTGGAACCTAAGTATATACACACAACTTTGTTTCCATTACTTGAACCTAAGTATATACACACACACCCATCGTATTTGCCAGCGTATAATATGCCTTTTGTATTTTAAAATGCATCAAGAAAGTGCCCTGCGTTTAATGCAGCCGTATTACGGAGAGACTAGTGCCACAGGCTTGGGAGCTTGGCGAACATACTGTTCCGAGTACGTTCGCTAGGCACAAAAACCATTGCTAATAATAAAATACTGAAAACAAACCAAATTATTACAGTAAATTGTGTTTCTAATGCAGTAATAAAATATTGAAAGCAAGCAGAGTTATCGGTCTTGTCACAAATTTACGATACGTCAGCAGTTACGAAGAAAGTTCACATCGCCCCCTTACATAACATACATAACCCACACCTGATATAAGTTGCACATTATTTAATGACTGTTACCTTTAAGACATTCGTTATCTAAATGAAAAGTGCTCCTATAAATTTGAAATGTTCAACTTTTATATGCCTGTCAGCTATTTGCAATGTGTGAATGACACCACCACAAGAGCGTTGTGAAGGTGGACCGTCCCGGTGGCCTGATGCAGCAAAAAATATCACCACATCCAGAAAACAAGTTTCACATCCTGTATAGCAATTCTTCTGCCCAAAGTATAAACAACTACTGTAATGACTAGTATATAAAGTTTAGCTTTTTTTATTAATGTAAATGTTTCTCTTAGTTAAAATACGAATTTGTTTTATTTGTGTAAATTTTTATGTTCCATTTGTGATTGAGGGTATATACTGTAATCATAAATTAGTATGATTCTGCATGCAAGTTTTCCCATGCGGTTTCGTCAGAGGAGCGTCCCTGCACTACACGAGAGAGAGGGGGGCCGAGATTTTATTTATTGTTACTGTACCATATGATGAAGTAAAAAAAAAACACACACACACACAATGCCCATTACAATACATTATATACACATACTAGTGAGGCCGTAGAGAGGTGCTGCATCTGGAATGTGGTATGTTGGAGGTATTTGGACTTTAGGTGGGGCTTTGTCTGCCCGAGCCAAGATCCGCCACGCCTCATAAATGTTACCTGCGGTGTAGAAAATTAAGTACTTTAATATTACTTGTACTTGTGTAAACTTTCAAATAACTACAAATTATCAAAGCAAAAAGCACTGTAAGCGTTTTAATTTAATTTTATCTCAAACTTTTACTCATCTGTGTGTAGACTAGTAACTGTGTGATTCACCATAGATGTAAAGTGCCTTGTATAGTGACCTGTGAGCCTCTTGTTGAATCACTTGTGAAACAAAAGATTATTGATGTGTGTATTTGTGTAGGTGATAGTATATATGTGCATATAATTGTATATGTATTTATATATATGCACATGTATATACTGTATATGAGTATATGTACGAGCATATATAACACCAATAATTGTGTAACTAGCATCAAAAGATTGTTATTTGCTTAGCTAAACGAACTAGGAGGTTCAGTTCCTGAACCGATTATGTGCCTCTGTAACCCTTTACACCACTGCCCACGGGATGGGTAGGGGGTGCATAATAAAGAAAAATTGAATTGTGTAAAATAAAGAATTTATATAAATTATTCTCTAAGCACATGATTCATAGTCGTTTGAAATTTTATCCGATTACATTAACAACTACTTTTAAATATTTGCCCAATACACTAAACATACAGGGTACTTTGTAGAAGTTAAATAATGCTGCATAAATGTATTATGTTGGCCAACAGCCCCTTTTTTATTTTTTTACAAATAATGCTAATGTAAAAAATGAATCGAATTTATACATATATATATATAAAAAAATAAGTGACGGCTTTAACATTTGCCATTCCAAGTAATAAACATTCTAATACACAATTCTATAATCATTAAATTTAGCAAACCTAAACCCCCAACACTAAGAAACATGCACAACGACATCCGTCTCACCAGCATTTCTTTCTGCTCCTTTTATAATAACAGGCCGCCGACCATCCAGTCTCTTATTCTTTATGATTATGTTAACGTCGAGGGTCTGCATTATCTGCGACACTTCAGCAGAGTCTACCGTTTGGTCAGGCATCAAGTCAAACATAAGAACCAAAGGTAAAGCTCCCTGTAAAAGCAAATTGCTTTAAACATTACCAGCATCAAGAGAAAAATATTGCTATGTTTTTGCCAATTTGTATCACAGCTGCCAAATAATTAAATAAAAACATCAGCATTTGTTGATGAATTTGGAAAAAAAATAACTGACAAGAATTTTAATCAAATAATCATTGAAGCCGCCTCCACTTCTGAATACCAGAAATCTATGCTCTTCCTCATTATCAGCATCATCTGCTAAATTTATTGAATGGCAATTCATTTAAATTAGCTTGCTTCTCAAAGTATTACGACCTGTATTAAACAAAACATTTTTTTAATTCATCATATTTTTGTAATATATTTTGACAGACTTTTTAAGAACTGATAAAATTTTTACCAAATAAAAAATTACAGTATTCAACTGAAGTCAGGATGACTTTTTAAACAATTTCTGTATACTAATTATCCACTAACATTCTTATAATTTTATTTATAAAATTACATATACAATAAAACTGTCTTCCACTTACTACAATATTTTGTCGGGCAAGGTAAACATTATCAATGGCTCCTGAAATGGTGACTGTCGACTTCTTCAAAGGGGGAAGGGAAAGGTCATTACTGTCAGGAAATGTTATCCTGTAAAATAAGGAAAGCAGCTCAATACATAATGAAAATAAATTGGTAACAATTTTCTTTATTCCACATATAAACAAAAAGTTACCTATGTAAAGAGAAAATTGGAAATGTTGTCTACTGACTTTGTTGCAGTGCGCTGCATGATGCGCTTCAGTGTCTCATTGTTACGTCCAAGAACGAAGGAGTGGTGTTGTGGAGAGATCTCCACTGTCATCTGCACAGGCATTTGATGCTGCTGACAGAAAATACACGTGCATGTGTCACTTATCCACAATATACCCTCAAAATTGCACAATTTTAAGCATGGCAGGTTTTGATAGTAAACACGAGAAGGGTTCCCCATTGGAAAAGGTTTTGGGATACAAAGTACCTGTATTCAATAATAATAAATAATAAATAATTAATAAATAATAAATAATAAATAATAAATAATAAATAATAAATAATAAATAATAAATAATAAATAATAAATAATAAATAATAATAATAAATAATAATAATAATAATAATAATAATAATAATAATAATAGTTATCTGAATTGTTACTGCATCCAAACAATGCTGCCCAGACAAGTATGTTGTGTAGCAATTCCACAATGATGACCAGAAAAGTAGTACATGTAGCAAAGTGGTCTGCAATCCAGGTGTCCTTGGCTCAATATCTAGGGACCGGGTTTAATTCCTGGGCATAAAAAAATGCCCACCGTGTTTCTTTTCACCTGACCTCTTCCTGTAGCGGTAATTGGTAATCGAATTATGCAATTACTTCGGAAGGTCACATAGTGGGCACAGAAGCAATTACTTCGGAAGGTCACATAGTGGGCACAGAAACTAGAATACCAACCTAACAACTGAGGGGGTTCTTTAATTTAATAGTTATTATAATAAGAGCAAGTATCCTCTACAGGTATCTTGGGCCTGATAACAGCAATTTAAGTCACAGGGTTGGCAGCTGGTAAGTTTGCTTGAGACGTTGCTAAGAAAGCATACCTCCCAAAAGTAGGTGTAGGTAGTAGAAAGCACACCTCCCATATCAATTTCAGAGGCATGCCGAACTGACTGTATATCAGGTGCAGATACACACCTGTGCAGCTACATTAAGAAAATCTAGAATGCTGTTACGATAATACCTAACAATTACAGCACTGAATAGCCACATGAGAATGACTATAGCTCCCATGCTTTACCTGGAATCTCAAGTATGGATGGAGGGGGGGACCTGGGGGTGTGTGTAGATATGGGCTAACAATTAAGGGGTTCTTTAATTTAATATAGTTATTATAATTAAATTATCAAAATTGCTTGCCATTATCTTTTTTTTCTTATGAAGCACACAAAACACGAGTTATTTTGTTCTGTTACCTTTTTAAGTACTGTACATCATATGCACTACATTTACATGTATATACACACACACATAAATCTTAAGTACCACCCATTATAAAAATACTTAATGAGCAGTTTGAAATGGAGCCTACATTTTCCCTATGACCTGAGCCTATTTCTAGCTTTTCACAGCCCTGATCTAGATCATTTAAACACGACAATTTAAAACATTTATGCCTACATCATGAAATGCTGGGAAGAGGGAGCAATTGAACAAATGAAAAATTGCAAATCCAATTTTCATTTAAGGTACAGTAATGTCAAAGGTTTAATAAGGGCCATTAAAAACATTTTCCACCTAATATATATTTTTTAATGTACACAGAAAATCATGTTAATTCCTGTTGCCAGAGACAGGAAGCCCATACTTTGACATACAAATCCCTCCCTAGGCTACTGATCTTCTGCAGGATGAAACCCGGAACACTTGCATGCCTCCTGGGTATTGTACCTGTTTTATTGCTACGTGATCAGAGGCATCAGCTGAAAGGAAACCTGTACAATTGTTCAGCCTGCCCAAGAATAGCGTCTCCCACTTGGTTGTGAGCCGAGGACGTAGACCACTGTGCTATATGATCCCCGATTAACAGAGATGCTCGGTATGGGTATATTGGAATGACTTGGGTAATAGACAAGAATTGTGGAAACTTTAATAGGGATTCTTCACCGACCTAAGACCAGATCTGCTACTTACTGCAAGTGTGTCACAATATGCTTGCAAGATGTACAGTGTTGCCTCCTTCACACGCACAGCATCCCATTCACTTCCCCGTACTGATCCAACGATGAGGGGCGAGATGTCATCGGTTAACTTCAAGTCAACCTAAATAATTTTTAAAACCTTATTTAATTAATAGTCAAATTAAATAAATTTCAATGTACTACAGGAATAAATGGGATAAAAAAAATTCTATTTTCACAATAAATAAGTACCATACAGTATTATAATAAGAAAATATTTCAAATAGGCCTAAACTATTTTCACTCGTGGCACTAGAGTAAATTACAGTACAGTATTGTATTTACAATATTGTATTTAAATCCTAATTGTATAAACAATTAGGATTTTTTTTTAGTGTTATGCCAATAATATCCATTTATTTTGTGCAGCAACATGATTTTTACACCAGTTTTTAAGTGGAATATATATATATATATATGGTGTGTTTAAGCACTTAACATGGGGGTATGGGATGGTGGGGGGAAGGGTTGAGGTATACAAGGACAGCTGACTTACCAGTTACATTGCTATCAATAAAAAAGTAATCATTTATTCACAAATTTTCCTGTAACATACACCATCACTTACACTAGTGATAATTTAAATAGGCACATTTTCAAAAATAAGGTTCATATTTTGCTTTCAGATATATAAAAATTACAAACACTACAAAACTGTACAACACAAAAATTGCTAAGACAATAAATGCAAAGATATGCTATTTTGGTGAACCACTCCAGCTATGAGGAGAGGTTGGAAGCATTACATGTGCTAAAACTAGTAGACAAAAAAATTATAATTGCAACAAAAAATTACAAAATGACAAAGTTGATTATTAGGCATTTTTTAAACCCATTATTTTGAGAACAGTAAGCCAGATTAAAGCTAAATTAGCAAAACTTTTTAAAACATTAAAATTATCTTTTGAACAGTGATATTCAGATGATTATCTGATTATCCCCCTCCCCCCCTTGTTTATGTTTAATGAGAATGTAGAGGATGCCAAAACCGTTTCATGCATCAGACGTAATTACGCTCTGGTGATTACAGAGGCAGTGTCTGGAAGCAAAAAACAAGCAAAAGAATTACAGTGCATAGAAAATGAAAAATTACAATATGGCTAATAATTGTAATAAAAGTAACATACTTGCACATTATAAGTGTTCTCGACGTGAATTATCAGCATATTAGGGTCAGATATGCTGATGAACTGTGCACTTGCTGAGAGAGAGAAGGTAAAGATAAGAGGCGTTAGCTCCCGGATGGCTCCCCGTGCCTCTTCCAGCCCAGCTAGCTCCTCCCCACGACTGTTGATCGACACCTGATTACTTTTCCGCACTTCACTGTTCTTGTTACCATCAGGGAAGTGGATACTCACACCTACAAAGCCCAAGACACTAAGCTTTGAAAGAGCAATTTTCTCTCTTTACATACATGAGAAAATTTCAAATACCGTACAGTGCACCCCCAATTCGGTGAATCTCTGGTTAGTAGACACTTTTCAGTCCAGATTTACTCACCCAATTCAACAAACTCTGGTTCGCTGAAGCGGGGGACATGCGAATTTGCTTTTGGGGTTAGGACAGTTCACAAACTGCTGGAAAACTTACCCATCATATTAAGTTAAAAATTAAAGGTTTCCTTAATGAAATCAGCCCAGTGTAGTAAATATTAGTGTATTAATGGTAACTCTTAATATGGCTCTAATCACATTTTTGATGATTTTTGTACAAAGACACAGTCAGGAGGATTTGGGCGCCTTGGAAAAACCATTTGGCACATTTAAAACAAAATTCTGTGGGTCATTTTAATTTTTACATTTACCCAATTTTTGTTCATATATACAGTAAATGCCTCCTGGATCAATCTCTGGTTGCAGCGAATTGTGGTTGGTCCAAAATAGTTCGTTGAATCAAGGGTGCACTGTATTAAAAACATGCTCACAATCTACCAATTTCCAGAAATTAAATTTTTAACCTGTATTGTTTTACTTATATACAAAAATGTTCACTGGGTTTTTGAATACATAACATTATTCTTATATTCTTGCAAGGCCACTAATATGCATTGCATTTTGAGAATTTATAAAATTAGTACTGTACCTTGAAAATATAGGCATGGATAAGATTTCTCCATTATGAACACATATTCAAATGACTGACAATCTTAATAAATCTTATTATCTTTTAAGAGATTGTTAACCCTACTACACCTGCACAGTCAAAGGTACCATACTGTGCTAGATAGGAACCAACTTTAAACACTGGCTCCGCTACCTCATACACATTTACTAATTTTAAAACAAGTACTATTCACAAATTAACTGGGTACATAGTACAGGTGTATAATTAATTCAATTATGCAGTACAGGTACTGTAATTTCAGATTTGAAGTAACAGACTGCATGCCAAGACCCTTTAAATCTATGGTTTAAACTGTAAAGCATGAAATATGGTTGGAATCTAGTCAATTTTAGAAAGGAATTGAAAACCCGTGTCTACTTGTTATGTCCAAGTACTGTATCTTGGTAGTACGTTGGTTTGTATGGGCAAGTTCAGGCTCTAGACCAACCACTAGGATTGACGGCATATTAGATCAATGTACAAGTTGTCTCAAGACTGCGTATTAGTGGCTTTATACAAGCATTATGTACCTACATATACTCTACTATCATGGTTCTTGTGAATGAATATTATGTAAATGCTGTATAGTAATTATAATAATGTCATGTTTTATTACAAAATTATCTGATCATGTCTATCTCACCTTTGCAGCATAATGCCTATTTAGTCATGTGAAAATTATATTGACCTGTGGGCTACAAGGTGACATCTTAGCTGATCGAGCTGACATTAGTAAATTTCTTTAGTACATTGCTAATGAACCCGTCGCCAGGAAAAGCTCGAAGTTGGTCGATCCAGAAGTTGGATCTTTAGTTTTTCTAGGCATGCCTATGAAGATCCCTGAATAGTGACATGCTTTTACACCACCTATCACATGTTGTATCGATTTCTATGGTATATATTCATAAAATATTGCTAGTGTTAAATTAGTAGATAACCAGAAAAAGAAAATGTGAAGCATTTACTCAAAGGAAACTTCACTTTACATTCATTTAGACCTAGTGAACTCTACCTGTTCGCTTAACAACTGGCTGAATTGTGTTTCCTCCTTTGCCAATGATGTGGGAATGGTGTGTCCAAGACACGTCAAGCTTCATTGTCACCTTATTGTGTGGTTCTAATTCTTGCCTTACCATTGCACCAGCAAGTCTGACTGCCTCTGGCAAGCCCACCACTCGGACATGCGGATCTGCAACAAGTTAACTTTGTCAAAACTTTTGCATTACTCCTCCCACTAGGGCCAAGCAATCACACAGAAGTCAATACTGTACCACAAACAAAAATCATTCCCCAGGCAATAACAATGAAAATACTTTACCAAAATGGCCAATGGCCATTTATACCTTTACAAGTCAATCCTATTTTTTACCTTCATTTAGGACCCCCAACAAGACTACTAAATTTCCGTTATCTGTGACATTAAGGCTGTTGGTCTTATGATTCTCTAGGTCAACTACAGATCTTCCCCAGGTTTCAATCTACAAGAATTGCCTAACTCCCAGTTACTTATTTACCCGTTTGGGCATGGTTTCCTTTCATTGTTTACCAATCATTTCTGTCCTGCCCAGGGACTGAACCTAGGGAACCCTGGGTCATTTACTGAGGACAGATCAAGTTTTCTCCAACATTCAGTTCATTAAAATTAATAGAGATTATATTGGGTTAAAAATATGGCACATATTACAATAATAGTGGGAAAATTCCCATAAGTTGGCAAACTTAAACACTGCACTGTGCATAGCACCTTAAGGTGCTCAATGGGTGATGTAAATATTTGTTGAATTTAGAAATATTTTAATGTTTTTTCACTTTCTGATTTCAAATTAAAATTCTTGAATTTGGCAATATTTTTACTTTGTTTTTAATTTTCAGTGTAATGTTAATAATTCATTAACAACTACACCACAAATTTGTCACAGGTGCACAGTGCAAGGGTTAAGAGATGTGTCTTGCAATATTTGGACAACATTAACTCTTGCCACTTTGATGTACCAATGCACTGTAATTGAGAATAATATGCATATATTTTATTTCTGTAAGCAGAAAGTTGTTCTTGTAAACTGGATTACACACACTTAAAGCTTTATGTGAACCAAGCATTAGAGTTGATTTAATGAGGTTTTTAATGTTTCATATTGACAAAATGCAAGAAAAATAAGAATAAAATAATTATAATATCTGATTACATTTTGTGTGTGTGTGGATAGGCAGGCAAGAGGGTTACTCAGTAGACAAAATATTGAAGTTCTTGCAAGATAGGATGAAGTGTAACATTATGGTTTATGACTTATGCTATGGGATGTGAAAAAATTGTTTTACTGAGAATTATATCAACTATATATAATATAGTATTTTCCCTTGTAAATTGATGTAAATATGATCTTTATATTGTGCATTATTTAATAAAGAAAAAGAAACTTTCAAGTTACTAACAATGATTTCTAAAATCTGGAACTTCCAGCTTTAAATACACAAGAAAATCACACTAATGTGATAAATTGATTCTCATTAATGTATCACGTTGGTGTAATTATCTCTTGTAACTGAAGTATTTGTTAGTGTGGCACTGATGCTCCAGGGTCTTTATATGCAACTTCCTAGTTTAGGAAAAATCTATTTGCAGACATTCAAATCCTCCTTTATCAACACTATATATTCCTCAAACCACCGGGTATAAGGACGTAATTCCCGTTAGCCATTTCCTTATTTAATAAGACGTTTTAGATCATTTATAATCATAAGAGATTATGCACTGCTTTGTGGAACCCAAGACTATTAGTATGCAATTACTGTAACACTGAAGATAATGTGACAGGCCTACATAAGTGATTATTAAGCACTAAGCTCTAGTAGTCTAGTAGCCTGTACTTTAAGCCACACAGCGGCCCCGCCTACCACATGGCGAGTCCCTAGTGTGAAAACGTGTTGCAATCACTAGAAATACTTACATAATTTCTGGAAGCTTTGCATTAGATTAATAACCGACATGAGGGGGGTGTTACCACAAATATGCACTGAAGGGAATTATAATCTTTCATAAAGCAGCGCAATAAAATGGCGATAAACAAGTTAAAACGTGAAAGACGTCATGGCTTGCCCTGTCCTACAGCATCATGCACAAGTTGCCCAGACTTACCATCGTCATCAGACGGCAGGTCAATCTCTATGTCTCCGGCGAAGATATCCATCCCCGAGGTCACTAGGTGGAGGAGGGGCGCAACACTACACAAATTAGTATCAAGACTGCGGTTTGAGACTCGTCTGTGTCAGGCCAGGTTCCTCCCACACTCCAGGCTCGGCCATTCCTAGTTACCACACAGCGCCTACTCTCTCTCTCTCTTCCCCTCTTCTTGGCCTCATCAACACACTTTACATTTACTGAAGTGGTGTGATGGGCACATTCTCCACGAACACTGTCAACCACACACCGGCCACGCTAGTCTTCAGGCCCTGCGCCTCGCTGGCCACCTTAATGTCTCTCACTTGCACGCTGTCAAACCCTTCAACGCATAATTCCCTCCCACGAAATACAGATCCCTCTTGTACATGTGTATGATCTTCAAAATGCTGTCAAACCACACTGGCAAGCCTTTAAAAGTAAAACTAATTTGCTATAGCTTCTGAAAAAAAAATAATTATTTAAAGTGGCTTGTGAAAACGCAGGCACAAAACAATACCCGTATCAAACCAGTTACAATTATTTGCTATTCTAAACGCACGCGGGCTAACAACCTCGTCTTCCAATGAAACTATCCATGTGTCTGGCATGGGATCTACTCTCTATAATCAGCATGTGTTATCTTGCGTAGGCCATAGGCAAGCCGCAATCATATCAATACCTTATCTTGCGTAATAATCTATGCCACTTTACAGTTATCTCTAAACTCCAGATAACACAGAGGCACTTTAAATCGTGTTGTGTACATCCTCAGGTGTGACAAACCATTTGTTAAATTCCCATCTTGGCAAGAGTTATTACAGCCTGTGGCAGTGGCTGAATTGGTCTTCTCCTCCGCCCCTCCCCCCCAAAATTTTTCTAAAAGATTATTATCGTCTCCAACACAGTAGCTGCCTGAAGTTGATAAACACATCTTGCCATTTTTAACAAAATATCGGCATGATGATGATTGATTAAGATTAAGCCACCCAAAAGGAAATGATGGTTCAGAGGTGCTTTTAAAGTTAGAGATCTAAACATATGAAGTTTAATACTGTAATACTAATTACACAGTGAAACATTTGAATAGCCGCTGTATTTATTTAAAAATCAAAATTTGTATTGTTTTTTGTTTTGAGCCAAAATTTTGTATTTTATTCTCAGTTATTATATCATCAGCTATTATTATATCATCATCAAACGACACAAATTCAAATCCCTTTATATTTGCGATTGGTAAAACCTGTACATATTAAAATACATGACACATTGCTAAGATATTTTGTATAAATTATCGGCCATTAACCGCAGCCATTTTTTTCTAACTATCCGCCATTTTGTTAATCTAGACGATGCTACCTGCTAGACGGCAGGAGATGCAGGCACACTTCCCTACCCGCCTCTGCTATTTCAACCCTCCTAATATAATATTACTTACAGAAATGCAGTCAACAATGTTCACCCTGTAATACTATATTCATTGTGCAGAGGGCACGAATAAAACCCTCAAACCCCAAACTAACATTCCTAAGCCTAGTATAGTCATTTGGGCTAATTCAGTGTTACAAAACTTAACTTTTTGGGGCCCAACGGTCCATTTTTTTCTACGTTAGACCAAATAGCTGCTCCAAGTGTTAACATTGCAGGAAGATGGGCCGAGTATTTCAATGGTCATTAAGTTACGGTCATAACTTACTCGGCCCAACTGCTGATCTTCCCCCAGGATGCAACCTACAACAGTTGCCTAACTCCCGGATGAATATTTTATGGCGAGGATAACAGCCATCAGGCGAGAGGAAACTTGCCCAGCCACTTTTGTCCTGCCTGAGGATTGAACCCGCGCTCCCGGGTTATGAGCCGAGGATGTAGATCACTGTTCTACATCACTGGACTGGACTGATAAAAATTAACTACAAGAGAGTGTAAGGATGGAAGAGGATGAGGAGCCATATACCATCTCCCCCCCCTCCCTCCCTCCCTCTATCAAAACCAGCCTAACCAAGTGGTTTGGTTAATATACAATATTAACTACGTCTCTCGGACGTAGGTTCGAATCCTCGTCACGGCCCTTGTGAATGTTTATACAATATTAATTTTCCTTTCCTACTAGTATGTGACTAGTGGGAAAGAAAAACCTTATATAAAGGAATGCTACTGCCTTGACCAGGAAAAGGGTCTGGCATGCCAGCGTAGGAGGGGGGGGAGGTTACACCAAGGGGGTCTGGTATATAAAGAATTGCCTATCCGCTTATGAAACCTGTATAACTTTTCTTAATCGTGGCGGCATAATTTGTATTAATGCATGCAGACTAGAGACACTATGATCGAAGAAAGTCTAGTCTAATCTAGTCTCCGTGGTGTAGTGGTAAGACACTCGCCTGGCGTTCCGCGAGCGCTATGTCATGGGTTCGTATCCTGGCCGGGGAGGATTTACTGGGCGCAAATCCTTAACTGTAGCCTCTGTTTAACTCAACAGTAAAATGTGTACTTGGATGAAAATGAAAGATGTACAGGTTTCGTAAGAGTGCATAAATCATGGTCTAAGATTTGTACCTTATAATATTAACCTGTCATCTCACTATGCACCGTAATAATTACGTTTTCTACAACGGATAGTTATCTGCCTCCCTGCGTTGCGATTCAAACAAGTCGTCACCGAAGCACTGTTCGAGCAGCCCGTTCTCCTGAGCGTTCCCAACGTCACAAACTGTTTTACTAAATTACCCTAACCTAACCCGAGGACTCGCGAACAGAGAATGGTGCATCAAGTCAATTTCTGAGATGCTACCATTTTCAGTACATCCGATTTTAACCTTAGGGGAATAAGTAAAAATGCTATGTACTAGTCTGGAGAATGAGTTGTTCGAGAAATGTTCCCCATTCATAAACGGGGGGGTTTGGCGGGTGCATGGAATCACTTTTGGGTCTGTTTGGAGGACGGCCTGCAATGAAAACCCGTTTACACACCACAACTGATTTCGTTCGAATACTTCCGGAACAGGTGCTTTGATGAATTTTGTTCGAGTCACAACGCTATAAACAGCCCGTCCTCCAAACAAAGACCCAAAAGTGATTCCATGCACACCCGCCAGACCCCCTGTTTATGAATGAAAAAACTGTTTACACACAACTGATTTCGTTCGAACACTTCTGGAACAAGTGCTTCACTGACGAATTTTGTTCAAACCACAACACTGTAAATGTTTCGCCCACGTACAACAAATACAAATAATTGCCAACAGAACCTAACCTATGCCTATATATATGCACAATATGCTATTGTAATATTAATTTATATTTGAGAAAATTCCCGTTTTGAATGAATAGCATGAAAAATTATAAATGCGTCTGTGGGGTCGACCGCTGGATGAAATGGACCAGAGCCGAGGACGGGTTGAAATAATCGCCAACAGAGCCTAAACACCTAACCTAACCTATGCCTATATATGCACAATATGCTATTATAATAATTTATATATGAGAAAATTCTCGTTTGAAATGAACAGCATATAAAAGTTGATGAATGCGTCTGAGGGGTCGACCACTGGATGTAATGGACTTGAATCGAAGACGGGTTGCATTAGGTGAGAGTTGTGTGTAAACCTTTTCTCCCATTCATAAACAGGGAATTTGGAGGTTGGATTAACAAGCATTTTCCCTTTGATGAGGGGGACGGGCTGCTGTAATACTGTTATGCGAGTTGGCAAGGTTCGTACACTTCTGGTTCAACTTGTCCTCTCCAATCTTTACGTCAAAACCCTCAACGTCAAAATGTTTACTATAAAGCATAGCAGCAAAATTGACGGGCTGGTCTGTTACGTTTCCTATTCGTGTGTTCACAGGTTTGGGTTGGGTTAGGTACGTTTAGTACATCATTTTATGACGTGGCAATTAGCGAGGACGGGTTAAGCAAAAGCAAATCGAATTTGACGCTCGTCAAGCCGTGAGAACGGTTAGTACAAACACACAGACTATAAATTTGGAACTCTTGCATAATTGAGTGATCCTTGCCACATGGCTGAAGGCTCTCAGCCTGGGAGTGCAACCTCTTAAGTTCCATCGTAGCCTCACGAAATATTTTCAAACTACGAGGCAAAGTATCTCCACTGCTCATATGATACACTTTATTTTACCTCTACGCAATATCTCATTTTATCCTATTATAAACATTCACATATCTACCCAAAATATTAAATCTTCAGACCAGCAGGTTTTTAATATAAGATGGCATCACTCCCCCTCCCACCACGACTCCCCCTAAAACACGCAGCTCCCTCCCCTACAACACCCCCCTACTTGCAACATACACCCCCCCTCCAACATCCTGGTTGGTGTAGTGACCACTGACAGTGGGCTGGGAGGAGGCTATCTCTGGGTACTTCACACTTGAATCCTAGGGGGGTGGCTGAGGACTCAACAGAGCAGCCTCTCACCTAATTTCACCCCCAACCCCCTTCCCCAACTCCCAATTACTTTATAATCATTTACGCTGCTTTACCCGCTGCTCATTACACTAGCCCTGATTTCTCGTTGTGCGCGCTTTACTTTACAATATAGCTTTATCGCAGTGTTTTCATAATTAAATGCCAAGAAATTTCCACAGTCGCCGATTCTGTCGGGGTAAACTCTACTTGGAAAAATCTTTAGTCGAGCTTATGCCTTGCGACTGTATGGATGCGTACTGGAGCCTGTCAGATCAGACAGCACCAGAGGTCTCCCACAGTACAAACCATCAATCATTTTACACCCAGATCAATTACTATTGGATACACAGGGGGGTGGGGGGGGGCAGTGCGCCCAGTCTGAACAAACTCTCAAGATCTTTGGCTTCACAGGTGTGTCTGCTATTGACTTCTAAACCGCACGGTATACTGACAGGATTCACCAGTCTAACAGACCTGACTGTCTCAAGTCAGACATTTTATCGCTGATGAAACAGACTACAGTCAATCTTCTTCATTCAGAGTAACGCAGTCATACTAATAAAACAATGACCTTTTAATTAACAGTCAGCTTTAAGTGGTCTTATCTAAAATATTATTTATTACTACACACACCATTGCTTGCTTGCTTGCTCCCTGTCCAACTACTTGGGCTGGACAGTAAAGCGACGGTCACGCTTCATGCAGATCGGCGTTCAATCCCCGACCGTCCACAAGTGGTTGGGCACCATTGCTTCCCTCCTCTCTCCTCATTCCATTCCAAATCCTTATCCCTTTCAAGTGCTAAATAATGGTAATGGCCTAGCGTCCCCCCCCCGATAGTTCCTTTCGCTCGGTCCCTCTGAGGGTGTGCTATTAGTATTCCTGGGTCTCTTACTATCACGGCTTTACGGGCTCGCCATAGCCCGTGCTACATGGACACTTCGTTCTAAGTAGCTAAATCTAAAAACAACAACATACCACGGCCGTTGCCTCAACAGTTGGTGATGGTATTCTTACCACTGTATACCGTTACAGCTCCGTTGTCCATGCTACCGTTAGCGCTATTAATGAAGCAGCCGTCGGGAGCCGTCATTACTGATACGACTACTGTTGATGTTG